ACTAATATTAAAAGCTGAGGAATTGTATAGATAAGAATCAGTCAAACTGGTTCATACATGCCTCGGGAACAGTGTTTATTAGCAAAAATGAGACGTCAGGATCAATGACACAACTTGAGCAATAGAAGAGATCACAGGGCATAAAAAAGAGTCAAATAAGAGTCGAGACGTTAAAAAAATGTTGAGTATTAATTTAAGCAGCCAAATGTTGTATTGATGATACATATGATTCAGAAGGACACAAAGATGAATGCAAAGAAAATCCAAGATTAGGATATCTCCTGTAAAAATTCCAATGTCATTGTTATCATATATGACGATGATTTAACTAAATAGTGAATTGGCAACACATCAATTAACGATGAAATATACCGATGGAGGGCTATTTTCTTAAATAAGTTGAATTTTGTAGCAAATTCTTGCCATAAATAAAATAGCCTACTGGTTATCTAGATTTGGCTAGCCCATCGGCTAATTGGATAAAAATACAAAACTTCTGTTTTTTATAAATAAGCTGTCATGTTGAATTCATCCCTTGAAATATGCATTTAAAAAATCAGCTATTTCAATCACAACAATCATTGGCCATTTAGTCCCAAAAGTCAGTTTATACCGATATCTTAGATAGATATGCCAGCAGTTAATGGAGGGCAGCATTTATACTTAATATATTATGAAGTGATATCAGTTTTCGGGATGATTCATTTTATTTTAGCATACATTTAAAGTTAGTAAAATAAAGTCACTTAAAATCACCTCTAACCTCTTTTAAGTTAAAATTTAAAAAAAAAGAAAAGTATGTAAATACAAGAAACGCACTCGCCCATGTAGCCTTTGCTAGCCGACATGAAGGAGACTAGCTGCAGAGTGTCCGCATATCCAGCACCCATATCAGATAGAACGCTCTTAAAACTAGTCCAAGGTGTAGTATCAGGCCGGTAGATATTGAACTGGTACACTTCATCGGCAAGTAACACCAAATTGTACTTGACAGCAAAGCGAATGACATCGTACATCACGGAAGTGGGCAAAACTTGGCCGGTTGGATTACCTGGGTTGATGACGATAATGGCACGTGGCTGACAATGGCCATCAGCTTCGGACATTGCACGCTCAAGTTCATTTGTTGACAGGCCCCAGTTATGTGCCTCATCCAGATAGTAATCAATCTGATCAATAAAAATGGAATGCCAAGGTACCAAAAGAAGGATAAAGAGATAAAAAGTAACGTATAATAAAAAATGAGTAGAAAAATAGAATATGTCGTACATATTGGGATATTTTGTCTCTAAGAGATCTTTTCAAAGGTAGGGCTGAGATGAAGAAAAATTGTAATCCTATCCAGCAAGGCCGTGAGTAGTACAAGTAACCTTGAAAGTGGCGTTAACAACCATGAGTTCATTAAATACTTGAATGGAGAATAGGATTAAGGGAAGGTTGCTGCTTTTATTACTAAATTGAAAATTCTAAATGCAGTAAAAATAAAACCTATAAACAGCTTCAAAAAGTTATTAATGTGTGTTACCTAGGAGACAAAGAATTAAAAGACCATAAGCGTCCGAATAATACACCATTAGGGGTGCCAAGTTAGGGATCTAGATGTATTTAAAAACCACTTAATGTGGAAACCGAGGTGGGGCACAATATCAAGAGGCCCCCAGTGCCATAGGTAAGCGTCCGTGTGTGAGTTTATAGTCAGAGGCGAGTGATGACTTGACTGAGTAAGGAAGCTAGAAATCAGCATTCACATGCGTAGCTGACTAGAACCTTAGTATTAAGTGAGACTGTCAACGCGAGCCAAGAGTGTGCTTTACATGATTCGGAAGTAGAGAACTTAGACAGTCCTAATCCTCCCTAGCGTTTCCAAATCAAACCAATCACAGGGCCATAAAGAAAGAGTTCGAGATGAGTAGGAGAAGAACTGGGTCATAGGTCCGAAAGCTAGGGAGAAGAATATTGTTTAAACCCATTATTATTAGTATATAGGAAGAAGGAGCTTTGACATGAGGGTCACCGTTCTAAAAAAGCCTGCAAACGGAGAATTAAATGGAAGACCTAGGTGAGGTCGAAACTGCAGTCTACACTGGATGAGAATATCCTTTGGGAAGCAGGGTTATATATAATCCAAAGGAAACATGAGGCCTACTAATATCATTGTGAGAAAATTCAACTACCCATCTTTCATCAGCTTAATTGAAAAGGATTTGGCAATTAGGCCAAATCCAATTAAGCCTGGATTTTAAGGATTCAAACTTAAAAGTTCTAATGACAACTTTTAAGTTGTCATTAAAAGTTAGTGCTCCCTACCAAATCTACTTAAGTGACATTTTTAGGCGACGTTAGGCAATATAAGGTGGGGTTGAGAAATAGAGATACAGCGCTAGAAGCTAGGAAAGAAAGGAGAGATGTCACAACAGATGAACATAAAATGGTCAAGTGGATTGCCTTCACTTATCACTGTCATCAATTATAACTTTGAATTAAGGATAGCGCTTTTCACAGTTGATGCCGGCTAAATATCTGGGAATGTACCAAGCCACAGGTACGATTCTCAGAAGTATCATGGGCGCAGGACTATGCACTTTCGGCAGTCTCCCTGTCACTCTGGCCAAGTTCCGAAAACGAGATCAAGCCAAAACTACATAGCTAGAGGAAATTTCTACCAAGGCTTAGGCCAAAGTATCGTGGTATTGTATTCCGCTCTACGTAGGCATGTACAAAACTAGATTTTGATCTGAATGATTTAATTTATTTATAAAGAAGCCATACAATCCCAAATATTAATCAAGCCACTTTCAGAAGTAGCTAACACTACAGTATAATCTAAAAATGTGCAGATAGAAGTAAATGAATAATATTACTATCTTGACATTAACATTAAATTCTACTACCTTCAAAATAAGTCCCGGATTACAAGAAAAGCCATATACAATCCGAACGAAGGTCAAGAGCATGGAAATAAAAATCGTCCTATATTTATTACTCTGGAAATTCTTATTATTTCGGCCACCTAGCTCGTCCCCCCCAACACAAATAAACACGCACGTATGCAATCCATTGCAACGTCGGTCTACTGGTAATAACAAATAAGAGCTTAAATGTCTGCAGGAAGACTAAGAATTTAAGATAGCCATCTTGGATGAAAATTGCATGAAGAAAAATTTGCAAATGAATCAATTTAGCAAACATCGGTTAACGACAACAAACTTTGTAGTAGAGAGGAGATTAAGGTGAGTCAGAAGGCAGCATAGAAGAACGATAGA